GTTCATACACCAACTGATTGGTTAAGTCAAGGTTGATGAAAGAAAAAAGTCTTCCAAAATATAGTCTATAATGCTTGATATCTGGCTCAAGACATTTTGGTAAGTGATATTCAGTGCAAACATTTTCTGTCTTTTAGTATTCAACTTGATAACATCAAGAGCTCATCATTCAAAGAATCACCTTAAAGCTCTCAGTCCAATTTAAGTATTGTACCTAAGTGGAGCAGTTCACAGATCCTACCTGGCACAAGAGCTTTTCTCATCCCCCTCATCTAATAGCCTGAAACAGTTTTCTTGAAGCATACATCACACATTTGTTTTAATTTTATTTTCATCATAAGTCTAGACCATGCCTCTGCATGCAGTATTTATCCTCAGGGAAGCCACATTATAAAGACACAATGTCTAGACAAGCAGCTCACCCAATCCATCAGAAAGGTTTCAAAAGTATGTAAGTATTAAATTCTAGCCAAAAGAACAAAGTAATATCAGTAGCTAAGATTAAAATAGACTTCAGACATGACATTAATAAATTAAAGAACACTGTCTTCAAGAGTTTGAGGAAGTGTCTGTTGAAAAAGAATATCAAGTTTAAAAAAATCTATAAATTACATTCTGTCGAATCCCTGAAAACCATGGTCAAGGCTAAAGATATGGCTCAGTGGTAGGGCACTTGTCTACCAAGCAAAAAAGACCCCAGGTCTGATCCCCAGCACAGTCAATACCTCCTTGCCAAATTCATGATTAATTTATTGACATGGCAAGATACCCATGACAAACAGGTTAAAAGACACTACACAGCTCACTTTATAAAACAACAAAACAAAATTAAGCAGGGCTGTTAGTTCACCAGACTGCCCACCTCGACCCTATGTAAATACCAAGAGAGAGTGAAAGGTGCTTATTCAAATAGCCAGGAGTGGTTTTTCCCAGAGTGTGGGATATGGTGATTTCATCTTTATTCCTTTTTGAATTGTCTGATTTGGAAAACAAAACCAAACTGGACACAATGCACTTATACTTAGAAAAAAAATAAACTAATTTTCATTTGAAAAAACTTAACATATTATAAAACTAAAACCCAAAAAACTAATTTTCTAAAATTATCCTGCCAAGTTTTTAGCTTTTGCAAAAACTTCAATTGAAGATGCTGTAAATATTTTGAAAATTGTTAATTTCTCATTTGGTTTTTAAGTAGTCCTTTGATAATTCAGAAGAACACTATAAAACCATTTCCTTATTTAACAACTAGAAGTTTCTTAAATACTGAAGTAACATTTATACCTGTACTTGGAAAGTAGAATTCCCCCAAAAGAAAACAATGTTTTCAATGTTTAAGCAAAAAAGTAGGGTTTGGTTGAGTTATTAAGAAGAAAAAGGCTGGGCAGGGCTGGCACACATTGTTAATCCCAGCACTCAGGAGGCAGAGACAGGAGGATCTCTGTAAGTTCCAGCCCAGCCTGGTCTACAGAATGAGTTCCAGGACAGCCAGGGATAGACAGTGGAACTCTGTCTCAAAAAAAAAAAAAAAAAAAAAAAAAAAAAAAAAAAAAACCCACAAAAAAGAAAAAGAAAGAAAGAAAGAAAAAAAAGTGGACTTTCAGTTGACTATCCAATTTTTAACCTTATGTACAAGTCCTGAGATAAGAGCTTTAGCATTCCAAATTTAACTCCAAACAAAAGCCTTTGCTTTGGGTCTACAAATGCCCCTTTCAGTTAGAAAGTGCTAATTTGTCCAAAGTCACACAATGCATTTACTTATTTTCCTGAAGATGACTCACTCAATAATCTGAAACATAATGACTATGTGTTTGTAACAATTCAAAATAACTGTAAAATAGCTTGTCATTTTAATGATTAATTCAGAGGCACAAGTTACAACTTACGTTTGAACTTACGTTCTGTAAATGTAATACATACACGAGACTGTCTGTCAAAATCTAAAAAGTTGAAGCTGCATATTTTAGTAGGAAAAGAGGCTTTCATCCTCAACTCTGCCTCCTAACTTTATTCTTAATTCTTTCAAGTTTCATGCGTGCGCGGGGGAGAGGGGGATTATCCCATATTTAGGGGTTCAAACTAAAGTTCAGAAGATAACGAATGAGAAAAAGATAAAACACACAATGACATCCTTAGCTCTGGCTTTCCCACACCGCACCATGTTCAAGAGCTATTGGCAAATAGCCAGCCTGTACTAGTGACTATGGTATGGGTTATGGGAAGTTATATTCAAAGTGTGATCAGCATCTTTTGGAAACTTGTTAAAAATATAAATTATCTCTACTTCCTCCCCACCAACCAAACACTGCCAGAGAAGCCCAGAAACTGGTAGTTGACAGTAGCTCTTGAGGGGATTCTGATATACCCTCAAGTCTCAGAACCACTGCTTTAGAATACCAATGCTTTAAGAATGGTGTTCCATGTCGCACAGATGGATTTTTAAAGAATTATTTGAGAAAATATATAAAAAAATGCAGATGGCCAGAAAGATACTTCAGCAGGTAAAACTGGTTGGCATACAAACCTGATGATCTGAGTCCAGTCCTTGGATTCCAGCATGGAAGGAGATAACCAACTCCCGAAAGTTCTCTGATCTCCACACTACCTCATGGCATAAGTGTCCCTACTCAGTCTCTCACATGTACACATAAATACACAGATAGACACATGTGAAATACTTTTTAAAATGCAGACAATGATGGGAAAATGGCACAGCAGGTAAATCTCAGTGAGAGACCTTATTTTAAAAAAATAAGGTAGAGTGTGGTGGGAAAGACACCTAATGCCACCCTATTGCTTCCACATGCACACACACGGTGAGTGTACTTGCACATATGTATATAGCATACATAAATTATTAAAAATTTTTAAGAAAAAGTGTGGCAGGGTGATGATGGTGCACGCCTTTAATCCCAGCACTCAGGAGGCAGAGGCAGGTGGATCTCTGTGAGTTTGAGGCCAGGACAGAGTGAGTTCCAGGACAGAAAAAAAAAAAAAAAAAAAAAAGAAAAAGTGTGCATCAATCAATTAATAAATGAATAAGGTAGAGAGTGATTAAAAAGGAGAGCTATTGAGGAGGATGGTACTTAACATTAACCTCTGGCTTCTACATGTATATGTACACACACAGCACAGAGTCAGCATTTGAGAGAAAAAGTAAAGTAAATGATGAATCAGTGATTACCAGAGAGTTCAGAAGCTTGATCAACTTTCTACAGTCAATCTCATACTTTACTCATGATCTCTCTTCTTGGACAGAAAGTAGAAGGCAGCTATTTGAATTTAATATGCTTGTAGCTTAGTCAACTTCCAAGTTACTACTTTAACCTAGAGGGTCTGGTGACCACACGCTTGAATAACAACTGCCTAGTGTACTTCCTTCTGTCTATTCTGAATTAGCTTCTAGAGAATCTTCCTTAGACACTGTAGCTGGTTCATGTTATTTTTTGGCTCAAAAAACTTATATTTCACAACTGCCTCATGAAGAGGGAGAGGTACTGACTGGCTTTATAGTAATCTAGGGATCAAATACAAATGTAAATGTGAGATAAGCCACATGGATTCTAAACAAGTAAAGCCACATGCTCATCTCATGTCATTTTTTCCTCCTCCCACTCCCATCCAGAGATGGAGTCTCAGGTTGTCCTGAACTCATTCTATAGACCAGGCTTGACTTGAACTCACCGAGATCCGCCTGCTTCTGTCTCTCAAGTGCTGGGATTAAAGTTGTGTGCCATTATGCCTAGGTGTTTTGTCTTTGAGACAGTGTCTTGCTGGTGTACTATTCTATCTAGACCAGGCTGGCCTTGAACTAGAAGTAGTACTCTTGTCCGGGATGATAGGTGTGTACCACTATGCTAGATATTCATTCCATTTTGGTTTTCTTATTTTTATTACAGTCAGAAAAGTAACCATGTAAAAAAGACACATGACTTCCAAGTGTCCAGAAGACAACAGGGTAAGCAGATTATAGCAAACCTCAACCCAGCAGGATCTCTACATGCCAATCTAGTTGTGTTTTGTCACATGAGGATAAAATCTTGGCACTGCCATAAGTTTAATCTTCTGAAGACCCAGATTTTGACTTTTATATGTAATCCAGCTTTAACATTCTGGGTAATATAAAAAATAAACCAAACCAAACAGCTGTGTGTTCTAAACAGAATCTATCTCTAGTCTATGACCTGCTTGTTTGAGAGCTCTGTTTACGGCATTAAATCCTTCCTCACTGGCCTGCCACACTCCTACAGCAGCATTTCATTCATTATCCTCCTCCTCTTCTTCTTTGAGACAAGGTCTCTTTATAGAGCCCTAGCTGTCCTGGAGCTTGCTTTGTAAAACAAGTTGGACTCAACTCAGAGCAATCCACCTGCCTCTGGCCCCGAGTGCTGGAATTAAAGGCATGCAGCTACCATACTGGCCCCCATTTCACACTTCTTAATGTGTCTCTTTAATCCTGTCAACTGTGAGAGCAGTCAAGGAATGAGGAAAAGGGCAAAGACAGCCTAAGGTAACTAGTCCAGCATGACATGGTTAGCCCAGGTCTCTTGACTCAGTCAGTAACAATTGCTAGTTATTTCTCTCATACCTCATCCTTCCCTTTACGTCCTTTTGCTTAAGCTATGTTCTTATTTAGGATGAACTCTGTCTGCTTAATCTCATCATCTTTTAAGATCTGCTCAAGTTCCACTGTTTAGCATAAAACCTTCTCAACCAGGTCAAATTCCTAAGTTTTCTCTCCTTTTTCTGAACTTCAATTGTTGTTATGGACAATAACTTACAAATCAGCACTTAACAACAATCTTGAGCCATCAGAGTATTTTATATCACTTCATATTATGTTTTACAAGAATTAAACTCTCAGCTGGATTGGGATAGGTCATTCTTCATTTCTATTCTACCTAGTTCTTCGCATTGTGTTTTAACAAAAATTGACTTCAATATTGGCTAAATTAGGCAGCCTTTTGAGGAAGACAATTACGAGAATGCCATTAACTTACCAGCCTTATGTTGTCTTCTGGGCGGAGTAATATGAACATTGCTTGAAGATGTTGTTGGAGATCACCTGGTGAGATTTACAAAGCAAAGGATGATTAGTCTCCATTCAAAAATCAATAGAGAGGATTCCTTCTACCTTGGCGACTTGTAAAGTTATGATTTACTGAGAAGAGTTAAATTTTTTTTTTTTACATTTGAATTTATTTTAGTGTGTGTGCATGCCCACGTGCTCATGTATCATGGCACTTTCCATGGAGGTTGTGGGGATTGGTTCTCTCTTCCACTATGTGGGTGCCAGGGATTGAACTTGGGTTGTCATACTTGGCAGCAAGCACCTACACCCATGGAACCCTCTCATAAATTTTTGTTGTTGTTTAGGACTGGGTCTCACTGTATATCCCTGGCTGATCTGAAACTCCATACGTAGATGAGGATGGCTTCCAACTTACAGAGACCTGCCTGCCTCTGGAGTGCTGGGATTAAAGGGGTGAGCCACCATGCCCAGCTCCATCTCATATTTTTATCATGAGTGTAGGTGCTCAATGAGGCCAGAAGAGGGTGATGGAGTTGGTTGTGGGCCAACTGATGTGAGTGCTGAGGACAAACTTGGGTCCTCTATAAGAGAAGTACGTGATTTTAGCTGTTGAGACATCTGACCAGGTTGCTGAGTCACAGAAATCAGTTAAGATTGTTGGTTTAACTTTTTTGTTTGTTTGTTTGTTTGTTTTTTTTTTTTTTTGGTTTTTCGAGACAGGGTTTCTCTGTGTAGCTTTGCGCCTTTCCTGGAACTCACTTGGTAGTCCAGGCTGGCCTCGAACTCACAGAGATCCGCCTGGCTCTGCCTCCCGAGTGCTGGGATTAAAGGCGTGCGCCACCACCGCCCGGCCTGTTTTTTGTTTTTTGAGACAGGGTTTCTTTGTGTAGTTTTGGAGCCTGTCCTGGATCTCATTCTGTAGGTCAGGGTGGCCTCGAACTCACAGAGATCCGCCTGGCTCTGCTTCCCGAGTGCTGGGATTAAAGGCGTGTGCTGCCGCCTGGCTTAATTTTTTAAATAGTAAGAGAGTAGTAGGCTGCATTTTTATATATTTACTTTCAGTGTATAGTATGTTAAAATTTATATCTGTCCTAGAGAAGATATACTTGAGAACAATCTCTATTTCATACAACGGTAGAAGTGGATGAGCAATCTGTTGGTGGAGTCCCATAAAGGGTAGTAAAAGAACTGTTTAAAGAATTATCCTTGAGTTTTGAATGGTATACATAATATCTTCTTCTGTAATAATAATACTGAAATGCCTTTAACTTAAATACTGTTAGATTCCCTTTATTTTCAATAGTTTAAAATGGTTAATGGATGATATTAAAATGAGAATACTTATTAAATAGAACATATCAGGAATAGTTATTCTCCTGAACATATTAGATGCTTTAACATGGCCAACTATTTGAAACCTAACTTATTCTTACATATTTTTTAAAACTAAATTGAAAATCTCTGTAGTAAGATTTAAGATACTAGTACTCAGGAGGCAGAGGCAGGCGGATCTCTGAGTTCAAGGCCAGCCTGGTCTACAGAGCAAGTTTCAGGACAGCCAGGGCTGCACAGAGAAACCCTGTCTCAAAAAAGAAAAAAAAAGATTTAAGATACTAAGGATGATGCTAGGCATTATGGTACATGTCTTTAATCCCAACACCTAGGAGGCAGAGGCAGGTAGATCTCTATGAGTTCAAGGCCAGCCTGGTCTACACAGTGAGCTCTAAGCCAGCCAGGGCTATGCAGTGAGACCTTGTCTCAAACAACAACAAACCAAAAACAAAAGAGACTAGGATAAAAAACAAAACAAAACCCTGCGGAAACTTATATTTTATAAGCTTGTAGAGGTATACACACATACACACATACACACACACACACACACATACATACACACACTATTTAAAAAGAATAGGAATTTGAACACAGATATATTGTATGGGTGGACAATGATTCCCACAGAAGACACGTGTTATTAATTGAAAATCACCAGTACTAGATATGAGTTCCCTCTCTATACATTATTAGTCAGGAAGGCTCGACAGACACCCCCAAAAAATACAGGCTATTGTCATTGCTCTTAGTTGCTTACCAGAACTAGATGGTATGCCCCTATTGCTGAAGACACAATATACTTTGGTTGCAGGACACAGAAATCAAGCTGGAATTAACCTGAAAGTTCTTCCTGCTGACCAACTTTCATAGTGCCAGAAGGTGGTACACAGGCCACTGTGGGGAGCAAAGCTATGCAGTCACCCTGCATGCTGTACTACTCATCTCCCAGACAAGGTGCTCTCACTGGTGCAACGATGGCACAAAGGTGAGGGGCTTTTAGATTGGATTTGGCTTGTTCCACAAGGAAGAATTTAGGCCTGGAACTGTAAACCTGGTCAAAGCTCAAGGTTCTGGAGCAGAGGCTCTGGGGAAGAACCTATTACTGTTGTTTTCTTAAACAACATGTTGTTGGACTACCTTGTTAATATTTATTCTTATACTCATAGATTAGTACTGCCCTCAACCTTGACCAGAGAAACTTCTTTCTGCAGTGGTCAACAGTTATATGCACACTCCTAACTGATCAAGGTGCCGAGAGTGTCTGTTGAGGGCTCATCCCTAAATAGAACACCTATCCACCTCTCAGGCCTCAACAAAAGTTCTGGAAAATTGCAGAAGGGCAGAAGGAATGTAAGAGCTAGAGGCTAGGAAGGAATGTGAAATACTGGGCAGCACACCCTGGAGCTCACTGAAGCTATGGTTACCAGCACAAGATCAAGTCAAACAAGATCAGTAAACATTCTAATAGGCAGTACTAACTAAACTTAGTGGGTTCTTAACAAAAAAAGGGAAGACCATGAAAGGGAGAGGGGCATGTGCTAGAGGTGCCCGAGGAAGTAGGAGGGAGGAGCTGGGAGTTCCTGGGGGAGTAGAAAGGGCGTTGGGGATGCATACAATTGAGGTTGTTCGCATTATGAAACCATCAAAGAATTTTATACACACACACACACACACACACACACACACACACACACACACACACACACAGGGGCTGTTAGAGATGGCTCAGCAGTTAAGAACACTTGCTACTCTCTTCCACAGGACTGGGTTTGATCCTCACCACTCACAACTACCTATAGCTCCAGCTTCAGGGGATTTGATGCTACTGGCCCCCTCAAGCATCTGCAATCATGTGCACATACCCACATGTAGATACATACCTATACATAATTAAAACAATAATAAGCCTTTTGAAAAAAGAGAGACCAGCAAAAAAAAAAGATTTAAGACACATTTTTTTTTCATTTCCCTCTTCTGTACTAGGAAATCGGAGGATTTGGCTAACAGGAGGCAGATAATATGCTGTCACAAATGATAACAATCTAAGAACCCAAGGCTTTATTTCTACCCACCTATGGCACTTTTTAAAGAGTTTTAAGATGTCTGATGCAGTCACATAACCATAGATGGCAGTATAGCTGGTTTTCACACTAGGCTTGAAACCTACATATATAATTTTCTGTGTGTTCACTTCATAGCTTTTTTTTTTTTTTTTGGTTTTTCGAGACAGGGTTTCTCTGTGTAGCTTTGCGCCTTTCCTGGGACTCACTTGGTAGCCCAGGCTGGCCTCGAACTCCTGAGTGCTGGGATTAAAGGCATGTGCCACCACCGCCCGGCCACTTCATAGCTTTTAAGTATGACATTAGCTGTGCAAAAAGTAGTGTGAGGTAGGGAGAAAAAAATGCATGTAGGTGTGATTAAAAGCTTGACAAGTTTGGAAACCTTTTCTCATTTTTTTCTCAAAGAATAATTTTTTCCCCTCCCCATCTCACTGCTTGCTTCTGACTAATTCTAGTGTAACAGAATCCTTTAACCTTCAAAATTAAAAAGAAGATCCATTTTTACTATGTTTCAAGCCCAGAGATACAATCTGAAGAAGCAGCATATGTTCTTAGGTATAAACCCAAGGGAAATTAAAATACATGTACAGATGAAAACTTATATGCAAGTTCATGCTCATTATTCATAATAGTCTACAATTTTAGCATTTGGGAGGTAGAGACAGAAGGATCAGGAGTTCAAGGTTAGCTTTGGCTACATGGTGAGTTTGAAGCTAGCTTTGGTTGCATAAGACCTTGCCTCAAAATAAACAATCAGGTACCCCTTCCCCCAAAATACACACACACACACACACACACACACACACACATCCCAAAAAAAAAAAAAAAAAACAAACCCTCAAGTTTATACCGGGTATGGTGGCTCACACCTGCAATCAATGCACAAGAAGCTGAGGCAGGAAGATCGCTGTAAATCTGAGGCCATCCTGGGTTACAGAATGTGACTCTATCTTACAAAACGAAAAACTAAAATCAGGGCTGGTGATATACTAAAGCAGTAGAGGGCTTGCCTTACATGAAACAAGGCCCCTGGGTCCCATTCTTAGCACAACGAAGCAACAAACACCACCACAAACCTGAGTTCCTCTTGAAGACCACGAGAGTAGCCCCGGAAAACACTCAGGATGCAGAACCTGTGGAGAACCCTGAACAGCAGACCCAAATTCCTCAAGGCACCAGTGGTGCAAAGATCCAGCTGAATTATTTCCAAGTCAGACAAAACCCAGCACTCTCCCTTCTGCTGTGAGGCCTCTTACCTGAGCTGTCTGTCTAGAAGCTTAGTTTCCTTATCTATGAAAGTTTGGCTATGAGCAAGCAGGGTATTATTTCTTACAGGGAAATTCATGTTTACAGAGACTAACAGGCAATATACCTCTAAAGTCCCTCCTTTATTTTATACTCTGCACATATTTCACCAATAGTACCTAAATTGCAGATAAAGTTTGATTAAAGAATTTTGTCATCATTTTCCTTAAATACTTAAAGATGTTTATTAATAATATAATTTGAAAATTGTCAAACAGTATTTGGATATTTTAAATGCCCAGATTTAAAAAAACAAACAAACAAACTCCAGGCACATTCAAGAACTACGCATAGGAACACACCATCAGACATTAAAGCATTTGACACATGCTCTTCTGCTTAGCCAAGGCAGTTATGTGAAGATTTGGCTTGTATAAACTTCAATTCTACATATATCATCCCGTCTGTCTAGTCTGGATCACAAGTCAATTCCATGCAGTCCGTGTTAAACCTGCTTTTTCTTTCTACTTAAGTGAACAATGTCAAGTAGAAATATTTGACTGTGAAAATTTCATTTAAAAAAAAAAAGTCAACCAGGCCAGGCAGGAGCTTGAAAAGCAGCTAACCACCCCACTTACTATTCCATGCCAGGGAGTAATTCACCCAAAATATTAGTCAGATGAGTTGGATTTAGAACAATAGTTTGTCTTCTTTTTACTGTCATAAATATCCACACCCAACAGAAATAAAAAGCTTAGCTTGGCTATTTCCTTTGAGCATTCACACTTTTTGGCAAAATGCTCAACTCCATCTATGATGGGGGATACTGAGGAGGAAGCATTGTGAAAATATACCCAAGTTAATTTTTTCAAAAGTTTTTCTCCCTTATTTAAAAAAAATGCCATTGTCAGAGAGCTTTGGCAGGAAGTTATTAACATGGCCTAGGGAAACTAGTTGTAATTGTGAACTGCTACATTCTAATGAGATGAAAGTCCAAACAAGAAGTAGTACAGCCTCTAAAGTAGCTGAGATTATTCTGATTACAGCTAAACTCAACTATTGACTCAATAGGATCCAGTATTTCCTGCTTTCACCTCTGATCTGTATGCTCAAGGTTCCTTCCTTGTAATTTTTTCCACTCCTGGAGGTCACAAGTCAACAAAGTTAAGGTAAAAGGTTTGTGTGGTTAGCTTTAATTGTCAACTTGACACAGCCTAGAATCACCTGGGAAGAGAGAGTCAATGGAGGATTGTCTACATGGGGTGGTCTGAGGGCATGCTATACAGGGGATTGTCATAATTGTTAACTGATGGGATAAGACTCAACCCACTATGGGTGACACCATTCCCTAGGCATGGTGGGTCCTAAACTGAGTAAGAGTAGAGAAACTGAGCTGAGTACAAGCAAGTAAGCAAGAAAGTGAGCATGTATGCATTCATTTCTCTCTGCTCTTGACTGTGGATGTCATGTGACTACCATTTGAAATTCCTGTCTTGACTTCCCTGCAGTAATGGACTATAATCTGGAATTATGAGCTAAAACAAACCCTTTCTTCCTAGAATTGCTTTTTGTTTAGATATCTTATCCTAGCAACAAAAGGAAACAAGAATATATATATGCAGTTTTACCTGCATGCTTGTTGCGTCTGTGGCTGATTCTTGGTGTAGACGAGCCATTCCCCCGGGGTAGAAAAAGGGCAGCACCTTTGACAGTTAAAAAGCTCTCGCTGATGCTGTAAGGAAAAAGTTAAGAGAAACATTACTTAAGGATGTAAAGTGAATAGGATGGAGACCCAGTTTAGGATTTCTCTCTCTTCTCTACCCAAAGTTCCAACTTCACAGGGTGAAGTATGCCTTTAATCCTAGCACTGGGGAGGCAGACACAGGCATCTGATCTCTGTGAGCTCAAGGCTAGCTAGCCTGGGCTACAAAGCAGCAAGCTTCATGCAAATCAGGGTCACATAGCGAGATATACCATCACAACCCCCCCCCCCCCCCCCCCGCCTCCCCCCACACAAAACCAAACAAAATGAAAAGGAAATTAAAACAAACAATAACAACAAACCCAAATTAAAAGATCAATTAAAAATAAAAAACACAAACAAAACCAAAATCCAATTTCAAGAGGAGAGATTATTCTTTATTCTGGTTGCTCACATATAGTTCTGCCTACTCTAGATAATTTTTCTAAAACAAAACTTAAAATATTCTATTTAAATTACATGGCAGAAGTTAAGAACAACTTTAAATAAATAAAAGGGCAAAGACTCTGGAACAAGATTGTAAGGGTCTGAATCCCAGCTCTACTGCTGTGGTTATTTATTCTTCTATAAAATGAGGTTATGAGAAGTCAGTGAACATACAGCTTCCTTAGGTAGTACCTGGGTTCACAGAAGTAAATCTCCTCCCAACCCTGAAACAGGGCTTCTCTGTGTAGCCCTGGCTGTCCTGGAACTCACTCTGTAGACCAGGCTGGTCTTGAACTCAGAAATCTGTCTGCCTCTGCCTCCCCAGTGCTGGGATTAAAGGTGTGCACTGCCACCGCTGCCTGGCAGAAGAAATCTCTTAATAAATATGAGGTATTATTAGTGATTAGTGACAGTGTTTCAATGGTGTTCTGATAAGATGTAAAATAGTCTCTGTTTTCTTTTTCAAAATTAAGTTTCCTTTTTAATTTTTGTGTTGCTAGGTCCTGGGATCAAACCCAGGGCCTCACATATGCTTGATAATTACTTTATCACTGAGCTGTACCAACTGCCCAGAAATGCTTCAATATTTATTTATAACAGAGCCAGAGTTTGGAAGAACACTTATTTTAAACACATACACATACACACACACACACACACACACACACACACACACACACACACACACACACACCATTCGCAAGTGTGAGCTCAAAACTGTATCCTTATTAAATAGAACAGTGGTTATCAAAACCTGCAAAGGATAATATGGAGGGGGTATGAAGAGAGGATGGTGGTTGGTGGGTATAGGAGTCTAGTTGGAGAAGACTAATAGTTTCTAATGTTCTATAACACAGTAGGATAACTATAACTGATCACAAGTGTATACTTCAAATTAGCTAAAAGATTTTGAAGGTTCCTAATACAAGGAAATTATAAATGTCTGAGGAGATGAATATGACCTATAAGCCCCCAGATCTATCATTGGACACTGTATACAGAGGGGTGGAGAGATGGTTCACCAGTTAAGAGCACCTGTTCTTTCAGAGGGTTCAGGTTAAATTCCCAGTACCCATATGGTGGCTCAAAACCATTCAGTTCCAGGGGATTCAACAAGCAAACACATGGTGCACACACATATACACAGGCATTCATACACTTCAAGTAAAAATAAATCAATCTAAAGAAATAAAAAAATTGTATACAGGTATCAAAATATTATATTTTATCTCATAAATATGTACAACTGCTGTGTGTAAATTAAAAATAAACAACTAAAATTGCACTCTTAGTAAGCTGCATCTCCACATGCACTGGAGAGGACTAGCACAGAGGAAGTGTGCTTTACTTCCTAGAGTAGATCTCCCATGGGAGGCTGATAACGTAAATGGAGAATTATTGCTTAGAACAGAAGATATTCAAAATTATAATTACAAGTGGATATAAACAAAAAACATATCGAAATTTCTTTCATAACAATGGACTTAACAAGCCTTTCATTGTTATCCACAGAATCTGAAAAGGGGAGAAAGAACTTTTAAGACATTCACAGTGAAGTTTAGAAACATGTAATAGGTTTCTAGGTATGCCCCTGAGGATTTGGTGCTACTCTGGGTTAGCCAGTGTACGCAAACAACACTGCCTACTCAAATTTTCTACTTGGAAAAATCTACCTGACATCATTAATTTACACTGTCCAAGCTAAGTTACTGGGCTGGGGACACGGCTTCCAGGTAGAGCACTTGCCTAGCATGTGCAAAGACCTCAGCTTAACCCTCAGTACTATAAAACCAAACCAAACATAACCAGAAACAACAAAGAAAGAACCTCTCTAAACCTTTCCTGGGGTTCTGGGGATCAAACCCAGGACCTCCCACAACTAGGCAAGAACTCTACTACGAAGCTGAGTCCTAGCCCTGCTCCAAACTCTTAAGCACCTCCTCACAACTGACTCCTAGATTCATCTGCACAGTTGGTTGGGACAAATGTGGAACAGTCAAGTTGGCCTTCGTGTCTTTTTGTCTCCCCACAATGTATCTCTAAAGCACCTGCACATCCTGCGGGTTGTACTCTCGAACTCACTTTGGACCTGTCCATCTACTCCCATCATCATCTTGACTGCTCCACAGTACTGCCATTTTCTTCTTATGCTGTTGTTGGCTTGGGCTTTTTAAAAAGCATTTTAGCTGGGTGGTGGTGGCTTAGGCCTTTAATCCCAGCACTCAGGAGACAGAGGCAGGCGGATCTGGGTTCAAGGCCAGCTAGTCTACAGTGTTAGTTCAAGGTCAGCCAGGGATATACAAGGAAACCCTGTCTCAAAAAACAACCAACCAACCAACCAAACACAAAAAGTGTTTTCACTGAGGGATTCAAGTTTGCTGATGTAACTGGGTCTTAGCTACTCCTCTGATTTTTTGAGATAAGAGCTCATGTAGCCATGTCGGTCTTGAACTTGCTATATAGCCAAGGATGACTCTGAATATCCTATTGTATCCACTTCCCAAGTACTGGGGTTAAGGTATGAGCTGTCATGTCCAGCCAATAGTTCTTTAGTAGTGAAAGACAGTATTATATTGAACTGCAATTACTTTTCAACCATTTTTCTAGCACTTACTAGACTGACTTGTACACAGTCAGTAGCTGTCCAGTAAATTTTTGTTAGAAGAATGGTGAAAGAGTAAAAATAGATAAATAAATAAAGAAAGAAGAAGTTTCCTGTTTTGCTTTTGAAGTAGAGTATCATGTAGCCCAGGCTGGTTTCGTTCACCTTATGTAGTTTAGGGTGATGACTTGGCTCTCTTCCTCCTGCCGTCACCTCTCCAGTGTTAGTATTATAGACAAGCACTAACACAATCTGGGTGTTTATTTTGTAATAAAAGCTTTTAAATAAGTTTTCAAACAGATGAGTAAGGTGACAAATGCCTTTAATCCCAGCACCCAGGAGGCAGAGGCAGTAAATATAAGTTTTGAGGACAGCCTGGTCTACACAGTAAGACCAAATCAAAGCAAATCAAAACAAACAAATAAGCAAACAAAGAAACAAAAAACAAAACAAGACCTTTTAAATGTATAGAAAAGTAGTGTGAATATGTATGTATGTATATATGCATGTGTGGGTATGTGGGTGGCAAGGCTGGAGAGATGGTTCAGGGGTTAAAGTTCGTGCTGCTTTTGTAGATTACTCAGGTTTAGTTCCCAACACCTATATTAACAGGCTCACAACTGCCTGTAACTCCAGCTCCAGGGGAACCATCCTCTTTTTGCTTCCTCAAGCACTTTCACACACTTGGCGCATATACATACACACATGCGCGCGTGCGCGAGCGCACACACACACACACACACAAAATAGATAAGTAAATAAATCTTTTTTTTAAGTAGGAAGAATTTCTGAACACCCATATTTCTATCACATTCTAGCTTTAGTTCTTGGCTAATTTTCTTTCTATCTTCATCTCCTTCACTTTGTCTCTAACGTGAATCAAATCCTAGACATTGTATCAGCAAAAAGCCTTTTGGTAGTTCTGTCTGCAACCACTTTTGCCCCTCTGCAGCCAGTGCTTTAAAGTATATTCAGATTACAGTGTCACTGTGTACAACTCTGTAAAGGCTTCTTTCCTTCATACTTAAAAATGAAGAGCCAGGCTGCAGCTTGGTCTTCTAGGCTCATGAAACAGCCTGCAGTTTTAGCAAGTTACTTCCACCTTAAGCTAGCTGCCTCTTCTTGTTGACTGTGAACTATCCCTGGTCACTCTGTTTTGACTGCAGTATTTCAGGCTCCTTCTCAAGGCCTTTGTACTTACCATTCTCTACTTGAGTCTTCCCCGAAACTGTTGAGTATTTAAACCTCAGCTCTACTATCCCCATGCCTCTTTTCTTTTATCCCAATCACATTCTGTCCTGTTGTCCTGTTTTGTCCCTTTCAGGATATTTTTGTGAACTAGATTATTTATTCACTTGTGTTCTTGATTGCAGTTATCAGCATATAAGCTCTACAGATGCAAGGACCTTACCTTGCTCTCACTGTACCCCTTAGCACTGGAAAGAAACGCCACCAGAAATACAGTAAGGGCTCAAAAGATATATGAGAATACATTAATTTATCCTCGTTTCCTCCCAGTTTCCTGGACTCTTCTGCCAGTGCAGTAGGAATAACTCCAGTTAAGAAATGGGTTATAGAGCACACTGGGTGTGGTGGTGCCTGTTTTTAATTCCAGCACTTGAGGAGTAGAGGCTTATCTCTTGTGAGGCCAGCTTCTATCTACATAGCAAGTTACAGTCCAACCAGGGCTACATTATGAGACCCTGTCTTAAAAAAAAAAGTGTTATAGAACTCCATGCATGTGGTAGATTAATGGGTCATAAAATGAAATTGTTCATGTCAAGTAAGTGGGCAAGCTGAAATCAGCTTTATAATGCTCAATTTTGGCTCAATTTCATGCTTCAATAAAGTGGTATGAGATTGATGAAACTTTTAAGGTTGTAACCAGCCAGAGAGATTGGACACATTTTTAAAAAACAAAACACATAAGAATCTATAGATG